TCGCCTCCGCCGCCGCCCCTCCCCCTCCGAGGGCGGAGGACGCGGGCGAATATCCTGCCGCCCGGTACAAGATGGCGGCCGGCGCCCACCCCTGGGCTTTGTCATTGGACGGCGCTTCGTCCCTTGGTTTCTCTTTCTTCTCTCTTGCCTTCTTTCGCCCTCTGCCTTTCTTTAAATGGGCCCGCCTCAGGCCCCTCCTACCGCGGCCCCGACTCCACCCATTGGGTGCTCTCAAGAGAGGGGCGGGGACAAGTGGGGAGAGGCCAGTTCCTGGAAGATGGTGGTGGTGGTGGGTCTTGAATGCGTGTCAACAGTTGAGTAGGTCTATGGGGAGTGGTGCCATGTCTAGAGGAAGGGGTGGGGAGAGTCATGGTCTCTCAGAGTGAGTGGTGTGGATCTGTGAGAACAACAAAGAGAAGTGCCCAAAGGCTTGTTTCTTGTGTCATAGTGAGGAAATTGGGGTGGAAGTCTAGAGAGAATGGACCTTTCAGAATTGCTTTCTAAAACCACAAAGGCCTCTTTTGGCATCTTCACTCAACCTTTCCCTTTCTTAGCTTTTATCCACCTCAAGAAATCAAGAGTAATCCAGAATCCTTCAGGTGATCTGGGAGGCTTCTGTGTGGCTGCCTCTCTAGACAATGGAATCATCTTTATATTTAAGAACTCTGCTTATCATGGTAGCAAAAGCTTTCACATTCTATACAAATAAATAATTGGGTACTCTTTGTTCAAGGTGATCAAAGATCAATCGTGTCAAAACCATTGTGTTTCCATACAATAGCTTTGTTTTGAAATACACAGTTCTTTCTAAAGGTCACTTGACTTTTCATTTGACTTTTAAATGTCCCTTTGGAGCACCATTCCTATCATTTAGTAAAGGTGTACTATTACATACAATCAGTAAGATTCCCAAGAAGAGAACATATTTTTAAGAACACATCTTTGCTGCTTTCAGTACCTAGCTCAGCACCTGTTACAAGGTGACTACTCAATATGTTTGTTGAGTGAATTAATGAAATAGCACCGGTTGTTTTAAAATTGAATGAGAAAAATACTGAAAATTGCTTAGAACAGGACAATTTCACATTTTGTATTTATACTGCATTTTCCTCAGAATCCACTTAAATTTTTTAAGTTAAAATTCTCCCAATACTTTGAACTTTGAAATAGCATGTAAATCTTATCCTTCAGTGAGCATCTTATTTTACAGATAGAAAATTTCTATAACAGACGTTTTGTGATTTACGTCAATACTTTAGACTGAAGGAAACATAGTTCAATATTTGACAGATGTGGAACCCAGAGAAGTTCAGTAATAGAGTTTAGTAATAGGACTGGGATTGTAATTTGGGTCTTTGACATCCTAATCTTGCAATCTTTCTGATGGCATTTCAAATTGTACTGCCCCGAACCTAAAGGGTTTACCAGAAAATGCTTTATGCATTGATGGGGGTGGCCAAGGGTTTGTGCTGTACACCTATTCCCACTTTCACCCCACACCTCACCCAAAATCCAGCAGTTTATATTTATATATTGAATTTACAATATTTTGCTTAGTTCAAGAAAAAACTAAAACAATATTTCAAAAGTTGCTGCTCTACACACACCAGAACATCTGACATAACAGTGGTTTATGACAAAAACAAAATTGACCAGGAGATCATATCCATCAAAATCATAGTAACTTTCTAGAAAAGCACACCCTGATCTCAAAACAAGAGCATAGAGCCAATTACCAGGTTCCTAAATCCTTATAAAGAAATGATATTGCAACAACTGTTTATCACCATTAGCTCTCTTGATAATTCTGGGAATACATAGTGATGTGAAATTTGAATAACTTCCATTGGAATGCCCCTGGTAGACAGAAAATCTCACAAGAGTAAAGCAGTGGAAAGTTAGGGAGACTTCATTAAAAAAGAAAATGACTATAGTTTTTCATATTGGTATTCTCCATCCCTTACCATGTTACTCATAATATTATAAATACTTAAGGGGGTGCCACATAAATATGCACCAAGCATCAGTTAAGAGGATAAATATTTTGTCAACAATGTTGAATCTCAAAAACAAAATTTTCAACAAATTGCAGAGCATTCAATAATACATTATATAATGGATGCTCATTTAATTAAGACCAAACTATTTTTAAATGATTTTTTTAAGAACTAACATGTTAAAGAGACTCCTGGTGTGGCTCTGAGGGTAAATGTGCCAGACTGCAACCATTTGAACTGCAAGGTCGGCAGTTCAGGCTCACCAATTGCTCCTCGGAAACCCTATACGGGGTCACTATGGGTCAGAAACGACTTGACGGCACTTAATAACAACAACCACAATATGTTAAAGAGAAGCATGGTGGCACTGCAGAACAAGTGCAGGCCTGTGAACCACACAGGTCGACAATTCAAGCCCACCAGCCGCTCCATGGGATAAGGCTTTCTGCTCCCACGAAGATTTACAGCCTCAGAAATCCTGTACAGAGTCACTATGAATCAAAACCGACTTGATAGCACTTAACAACAGCATAATGTTAAAGGACTTAAGTTGTTTTATACTTTTAAATTTGGCATTGTTTGCTTGCTAAGCTCTGTTTCTTCATTTCTTATATTTTTCCATTTCTTCTGGACCTCTGCCTTTTGCTTATCACAAATATTCTTACAAATGGTTTCTTATCAATTCTCCATAAGTGAGTAAACTTACACATAAAGCTAACATATTAATCTAATTCTTAGAACATCATAAATAATAAAGTTTATAGAAAGTTATCAAATTACATTTTTTGTTCTTAAAGAATGATAGTTTAAAATCCTCTGTGTTCCCCAAGATGTATGTCAACATCACTAGGCCATGAGCCCCAGTATTGTCTGGTTGTCCTCCATTTTGTGATCTGATGTGTTTATTCTCCATTTTATGATGGATTTCAAATCTTAATCTCTGTATGTTAATGGGAAGTCTTGGTGTGGCACTGTAGGATAAGTAGTGAACTGCTAACTGCAAGGTTGATGTTCCAAGAGGATCAGGCTGCTCTGTGGAAATCCAACATAGGGTCGCTATGAGTCAGAACCAACTTGATGTCACTTAACAGCAACATACATTAATGAGAGTTCTGGTGTGGTGCTGTTGGATAAAAACTGGACTGTTAATCTCAAGGTCAGCATTTCAAACCCACCAGTCACTCCTCGGAAAACCTATACAGGGTTACCATGAGTCAGAACTATCTCGACAGCCCTTAACAACAACATATATGTTAATGAGATGGGATTAGAGTGAGGTGTATCTTGAGTCACAGACTTACAAGAGCGTGTGACTCAAATCCCAACCTTTCTCAAGTCACATCCTTGCTTGAGTCACACATTTTGTCTTATAAGTGATAAAAGGAGAGAGAATTGAGCAGAGAGGAGAGGGACCTCATTACCAACAAACAAGAACCAAGTCCACAGTGCAGCCTTTGGACCCAGAGTCCCTGCACTGAGAACCTCCTAGACCTAGGGGAAGGTTGATACCCAGACACCTGAAGATCTCCAAGGAAAAGGGTCCAACATATATTGAAAGGAGATAAGGACCTTAGCACAGAGCTACAAACAAAGCAAACCTTCCCTTCAAGTGGGCCCCCTGAATTTGGACTTCTGGCCTCCCAAACTATGCAGTTTTGTCTGTTAAAACAATCTACTTGTATTTCTGTTACAGCGGTGCTAAATAACAAAGAAAAGAAAACTAGCTATATAACGCTTGTTGTTAAGTGCCATCAAGTCGATTCCGACCCATAGCAACCCAGTATAGGGTTTTCAGGAGCAGCTGGTGAGCTTGAACCACTGACCTTGCAGTTCAAACAACTTTGCGGTCTGACGCATTAACCCACAGCACCACACCAGGACTCATCAAAGTATATTACTATTAGGGATCAATCAAGTTCAGGCATGCACAAGTTTATCCCAAACAAATGTATTTAAATATGTCTCTGTGATTGGTGAATGACTACAGGTAAATTATCTTCGTAGCACACTTGCTTAGTATCATTTTTGTGGCTAAGTGCTGTCTAGTCGGTTCCCACCTATAGTAACCCTGTCTAGGGTTTCCAAGGAGCGGCTGGTGAATTTGAACCACCGACCTTGCAGTTCAAACCAACCTTGTAGTCGAGTGCTTATTCTGCAGCACCACACCAGGACTCCATTAGGGTGCCTTTAAAAAAAAAAGAGGTAGAATCAAAACAGTGACTTCCAAGGGAATCTGCTGGGCCAGTTAAATTCAAGAAAGAGGTCAGCTCAGAATGTTATAGTGACTGCTTTGGGGGATCCCAAAAGAGTAATATTGATAGATTTTCTCAATCTAGGATGATGGGGTTTATTAGGATCATGGGAGTTTATTAGGAAGCTGTTTTAAGAAAGTTGAAAACTCCTGTGCCAAGGAATTTATTTGGTCCATCACAACAATGCACCTGCTCCTTCTTTGAGGGTAACAAGAGTAGTCCTATGTTAATTTCATTGGAAAACACCTCATTCACCCTACAGCCCTGATCTTGCCCCTATAGACATTTTATTTTTTTTGTTCCAAAGCTCATCATTTAAAAGGAACATGATTGATCTTTCATAAGGATGCTCAAACTGCCATTTTCACATGGTGTACGTCAGAGAGTGCAGAATTGTTTGGGAAAGGGTTAGGGAGATGGAAACATTGCCTCCAGAAGCCTGGAGACCTCAGTGGAGGAGACGTTGAATAGTTTCACATTTTGATTTTTTTGTTTAATGTTTCTGTTTTTTGTTTTGTTTTTAAGTGTTTATTGTGAATCAAGTGAAAATTTACAGGGCAGATCATCAGTTTTACATTTAACAAATCATATACTTTATTTCATTACAACTATTATAATCCCCTCCATGTACTATCAGTTAACAGTATTTCTCGCTATACATTTTAGCTCTTTTTTTTTTTAAACACTCAGGCATATATAATAATTTAAGACACCAAAACGCACATTCTGCAAGCCTGCCTCCCTGGCTGCTAACTCTCAGTCCTTCTCTTTCCATGAATTTAGAGCCCTCAGCTGCTCCCTCTCTCCATGTGCCTATCTCTGCCTCCATTTTTGGTGTTGCTGCTTCTCTGGATAG